TTTCTTCTCTTCTCTCAACCTGCACACTCCCACTCTTCCTCTCCACTATGCTACACTGCCTCAGAAGCCATCAGCTCCACTCCACCTCCATTTTTCTACCCGTCTCTCTCTCTCTGCTCTCTTCCTAAATCACTTAACTGTACTAAATCAAAAATGTCCCTCACATCTTTACCTCTCACCTCATTCGTCCCTCACTTTCAGGCCCTCAGCCAGGTGTGGAGATGGCTTGTGGGGGATGAGTTCAGGACCGCGTGAGCCAATAAGTATATACACTACATCCTCATTCAGTGTTTGCATCAGGATTGTCATGGAGGGGGGTCAGTTGGGCCGAGTAGCACTTTTCTAGGCAGTCGCTGCTCTATCCAAGGGTGCCAGTAAACAATATTGTAATAGTTGTGCACCCGGTGAACTAGTTTGACAGTTTGGTCTGAGCCTGGACGCAGCCTAGCTACTACAGCCACTGTCAGTAATTTTGGAACTGTCTTGTCTGCCTATTTTTCAACATGCAGAATAAGTCTTTTGTGTAATTAATGTACAGTTTGGCTTACTGGATCAAAGTCCGTTGAGCAGCAGTAAAGATTTAAAACACACCAGCGCCGAACGACATGCGCCGCCCTTATTATTTTTTATGTATAACCCCCACACCAAGAGCATGGACACGTCACCTCACGTCACTCCACGCCACTGTCCCATTTCCAGTATCGCTGTGCCTGAAATTCTAAATTCTAATGGCAAAAAAGACATAACCTGGCAAGTCATACCTTATGAGATCAGCTCTTGACTCAGGTAAGTTTAGTGTCCACCCATGATTTTAAGCTAATGTCTTATATTAGACATTTTATATAGTATGATCAATTATAGTATGAAAGGAAGTTGAAAAGGTTCAGGATACACTAAACACTGAGAAGACTATGCCACCTGCTGTTGTAAATTTATACCAGCATTGGGCAGTAATAGAGTATTAGTCATCAGTGCAGATCTGTTGTTACCACAAGCACCGGTGTGTTTTAGCCTTGAAGCCTGCAGGGCATCTGGTGTTGATACTGCTCACTGCTGTTTCCAACACCAGGACACTTCACTGCACCTGGGTGTCCCAGGATGATGAAGGTGATGCTCTGAATAAATGAACAACTATCTGGATGGTGCTCTGAATTCATCAACTGTCCAGTTCAGTTCAGAGCGCTCTTTGATGAGAGTAGTAGTCGATACTAAACATGTTCTCAATATTTCAGTTCAACAGTTAAAACGCAGTACAATTCTGCCTGGTTACACTATGGGGGTTGTTAAATGGTTAGAAGAGGAAATGCCAGAACTGCTTTCTGACAACTAATTAGTCTTCCTCTTGTTCTTTGCTTCTGTATTGTTTCATTTGACACATTGTTAAACTGTTGACATTTCCCTCTATTGTCTTACTGCTGCCATTTTACCACACTCATTTATCAAACTCAAGTAAGATAAACTATCTTTAAAATGATCAAAGTATCACTCCACCCCGACAGTCCATGTTTAGTGGTTCCATCGTTGTTGAATCAGTTCTATGATTTTGATATGGATCAAGAAATAAATAGACTCACATGGTTTGAAGTGTTTCAGAAAACACCAGTTTACTTCATTTGTGAAACTGATGACAGTGACCAAACTGTATATTAACATCAGACCAAGACCAAGACCCAGACCCAGGTTTTCAACCCACCCTTTACATGAACACACTTGTGCTGACAATTTGTTGATAGGTGGTTCAAGTAGTGCACGTTGCTGGTTGAGGTCTAGTCCTGCTATTAAGTGAATGTCAGAGTTGGAGCTGAAACAAGTAGTTCATTAGTCAATGAGTCATTTAGCAGAAAATTATTTGATCAATTAATTGTTTCAGTCATTTTTCATTTCAGTAAAAATGCCAGACATTCTCTGGTTCCAGCTCTTAAAATGTGACTACATGTTACTTTTTTTTTTGATGATAAATTGAATGGGTCTTTCCATTTTTTCTTTCTGCAGACTCACAGAATGCTGCTCAGACAGGTGAGTACCACAACAAACTTACTGTGATGCTTCTAACTCTCTCGAGAGGAGAGACGTTGCTAGGCAGCGTAGTGATGTATGTGTGGATGTGTGTGTGTGTGCACTACACATCCGAAGCTCTGTTTGTGGCTGCAGCCACTGTGCAGTTTTTGTTGTCTGGGTGATGTTTTATTCTGCTGTTAATTCTATAAGAAATATCAGGCTATTTAATTGATGTATTGCTTGTTGCACTTGCAGTGTGTTTTATCCAATTTTCTGGTTAATTCTACTAAGGTTACACTGAAGAATGCAGTTTTATATTTATAATTTAACAGATCTATCATGTAAGCTGTATAATAGAGAGACTCAGAATAGAGTTGGGTGAACTTGTCTATTCAGTATCAGATTTTTTCATGTTTATGCACAAGAACAGAACAGGTTTGATTTTCTGGGTTATCATTTATTTTGTTTGTTTTTTTACAAAAAATATGGACTTGATGTGCAAAGACCTTTTTGTCTCTTTGGACTTGACTCTGTCTTGACTAGTCCTGATCTTGGACTTGACAAAGGTGGTCTTTTATTACACTAAATTACATTAAATTCACTAATATAGCTAATAGTTACTTTTCGGATTGTCATCCAAAATTTCAAAGTTACTTATAAACTTTGATTTGCCTTGTTGTAAAAAGGTGTTATACTTGCCTTGCCTAAAATGGATTTACTTAAAGTCTGTTCAAAATGTGGCTTTACAAAAGGAATTAGCTTTTTGCGCAGCTCAGAGGACCTGCTCCCCTCCCCTCAGTGAGTTCATATTCAGGATCCCATCCTTTTCAGCCTGGAGGAGGCTCACTCACTGCCACGGGAAAGACAGGTCAAACAGAACTAGCCATTACTCACATAATGTAACTGCACAATTCTCTTGTTGTTTTTTATTGTAATGTTTGTCATTTTAAATATTTTATAGAATTTTGCAAGAATGAAAGGACTCAAGTCAACACATTCTACACCACATGATGAGGGAAACCAGAGTCAGAAAATACAGGAAAGAGTATTATATTCACATTCCTGACAGCTCTACCAAAGCAAAACAAACTAAACAAAGGACAGGGCTGTCAAATCTACATCAGTGTGTACCGAGTTCAGCATCTCAAGAAGTAGCTGAATTTATTTCCTTCCACCCCTTTAGTTTATGTTGTGTGATTCACAAGTCCTGGAAGAGCCTGACCTGTTGCAACTGAATTTTTTGACCTCCCATTTTCTATCTACTGCAAAACAAACAGGCGGAAAAATAAACCGTTGGATCTCTGGCTACCAACAGTTCTACCATTGCATTTGTCAGATTGGGTTCTAGCAGGAAACAAATAACAGCTATTAGAGAGCAACCCATTGACCACTCTGCCTTATACTTAGAACAGAAAAAATATTTTATTTCCTGTACAATTTATCTGGGAGAGGTATTATTTATCCCATAGAAGCATCAGATGAGAGTATGTTAAAGACACATGCTAGAATCACATTCAACCAAACCATATCATTTAAATGTAGTCCTGGCATTTAAATTCACATTCTACATCTCATGATTCACCTAACAATCAGAATGAAATGCCATTTTGTCTCACTGGATTCTTTTTTTGGGCTTTCTAATGATGTTCCATTAATGCCACGCAGAGGCTGTGGTGCAAGAAAGCAAAGAAACAAACTCATTTATTGCTTTTATTTCTTACTCATCCACACTTGTTGCCATTTCCGTGGCAATTTTTATGTTATGGTGAATAAAGATGACATCCCAATACAAATTTCTGCCGCTAAGGGGTCTCTTACATCAAAACAGGATCATGTGTTGTCATTGTCTACATTTTTAAAATGCCACTGCTGTTGAAAATCTATATGTTGAGATGAGATGATATTAAAATGTATTCACGTTGCCTTTGGTCAAGTTTAGAATCTGGAAGGAGCCTGGCTATCTTGTTGGCACTCTCTGTGCTAACATAGCTGTGGATGTACTCACCGGTACAGTTTTCCTACCACGGCGGCAAATACAAGGCACTCGTGAGACTAAACCTTCTCAGTGAAATATGGGTGATCTTGGGTGTTTGTCTTAGTTGCTTGTCCAAATCCCTGTGCTTCTGGCTATAGCAGAGTGACACAAGAAACATTCTGCTGTAAAGTGATTCACTCCTCATCTTCACATAACTTTTAATTTAATGCCCAGAAATACTTTTTGGACGGTGCCTCCTCAGCGCCTTCCTCGAATGGTTGACATCTTACCTGCAGCTCATATTTAGCGAGCTGGCTGCCTCTCAAACTTTTGGCACACAGGTTAACAGGTTGTCAGAGATAGAAAAAACTCATCTTGGACTCTCCAGCCAATCCTTGAGGGTTGGCAACCAATTTGTGTGTGTTTTGTAATAAAATAATTTCTATGTCAGAGAGCCTACTAGGAGCTTTATTCTGACAGCCTTGTGGACACAAGCTGTAGTGTGTCTGATGCCTCATTTAATTGATTTCAGTGGGAATCTGGACAAATCCAACCCAGTTGCAGGCATTAAGAAAAACTATATAGAAATAGTCAATATTCTTGCTGATGGTTTTTGTTTGTTTATGTAGGTCATATGGAGGCATCAGTATTAAACTGAGGCTGTTTCACAACCAGTTAAAAACTCCTTGTAGTATGTTTAAGAACTAGTTTCTATCTTGCCTGTTTTAGTAGGTTAAGTCTGAATTTAGGAAGAGCAGGTCCAACCGGCTCCAGACCTAGTCTTTACCTTCACAAAGTTATTTAGATGCTTAACCTTTATCACACTTGGCGTGTGGGAATACTGTAATGATAAATAATGCCTTCCTATGCAGCCTTTAAATGTAAGAAAAGTTTTAGTAAAATAATCTAATATCAACCAGTGTGTGTGTGTCTCTCTCTCTCTCTAACTCACATACTTACTCACACACTCACTCACTCACACACACACACACACACACATACACACACACATACAATTTCTCTTTACCTTGTGCATTTCATTCCAGACACGTTCAGTGCTACTCCTCCGTCCTCCCAGTTCATCCATGATGTCTGTCAGTAGAGCCTGCAGCTGTGGAGGGTTGCACACACACACACACACACACACACACACACACACACACACACACACACACACACACACACACACACACACACACACAAAGATTATAAACAGTTGAGCAACGACACTTTTTTCCCTGTAAATACACTATCTCACATGAGCACACAGACAAATATACAATTTCTGTACTCCCACGATTTCCCCGTCCATAACTCCCCTAAATTACACACACACACACAGTCACACACACTTTTACAGCTAATTAAAAATCCATTTGCTGGGTGTTAATTTTCATAGCCTGGTGAGCTCTGTACAATGCGTGCCAGGCTGTCGCCAAGCAGAACGCACTGCCATTCAGACAGGATTTAACAGAGCTGACTCACTGAGAGGCAGACATACATGCATGCACTGCTGCTGATACTTCATTTCTGCATGTACTGATAAAAGTATTTTCTGTTGGCGGCCTCCACTGGGAGGTCAAAGGTCAATATCAGCTGTAGAGTAGTTGCATTATAGCGCTAGTAGGGGTTCAGTGTCTTGCTCAAAGATACTGGAGCAGGGTGGAAATGTGATGTTTTGTGCTTAACCTCAGCAGTTAAAGGAATACTCAGTGGAGAGTTTGGCTCAGCTTACCAAACTGGAGGCAGAGGGATACAGCTAGCTTCCATAAGAAGAATATATGCTTTCACTTCAGGGCCATTGAGGACACTGAGGTCATAGCGTTTTTTAAAATATATTTCTAGACTTAATGAATAAACATAAATATGTAAAGGATTCAGTAATTCTCCTTCAACAATTTTATTCCCGATAGTAAAGTTTGCTAAATGAATAAATCAGGTTAAAAACAAATGAATTACTCTTTGTAATGGCCAGCAGCAAAAATGGAGTGGCTGCAAAAAGAAGTGTGTTTCTATCGAATGCAATTACCCTATTTTTCACTTGAAATTGCCCTGGATGGACTTACAGTCTGGATGACTGAAACTACAACCAATCAGAGCAGTGAAAGGTGTGATGTGTGACTTTTTTAATCTGGGCCAGTGACTGTCAACCATTATATAAAACCCTCCCCATATTAAATAAACGATTGTGATTGACTCAACTAGATCCAGGACAGGTGGAATTCAGTTTGAATAGAGAGGAGCAAATTAAATGTCATGGGTTTGGCAGATTTGTCAAGTTCCCATGCAAATCTAAGCTTTATCCAAACTTCATTTTAAACCAGACAGGAAACCAAATACCTAAAATAGACTCTTACAATCAAACTGTCCTAATTTTGGTAGATTTTCATCATGTTTTCATCTTTGTGGGAACCTTGATCTACATGATAAGAGATACATCTTATAATGTATAATGTTCTGACTGATCTGTGTACATGTACACTATAGTACAAACACAAACTTCTCAGACATGCCTGCTTTCTTGAAGTGGGAACGATAAGATTTTAATTTTTTTTTAAAATTAATTTGGCCTTTTTTGGGGCCCTTTCAGTCAAGCTAGATGCTGTGGGTTGTGAATTATTGAAACTCCAGACGGAGGAGAGCAATGTGACATAGCTCTATCACATTTTGACCGGCTGCACATGAATGCTGTATTGGACTAATTGAACTAACTAACAATAAGTCAGTGCTGCCATACAGCAAAAAAAGAAATAAATACTTAAATGGAAGACAAAGTCCTGATTCAGACTGCTTTTCTGAGACTGTGTCTAGACAGCTGAAGAATTACCTTTCAGAACATATTTATTTGGATCGATGCACCTTTATTTAACCACAACCAGCTTCAGATAATCTATACAAGCCCTTACATTTACTTAAAACGTGGCCTCACATAATGTATCATTTCAAGTGCTGTTATCAGTCGATGCCTTTTGTGTACTTTGTTTTTTCATTTTATCTAGATATTTTACATTGCATGAAGTTTTAGTCCACGTTTATACTGAAGGGGCAAATGTTATGTGCTCTTTAGTTTGATGTTGCCAGCATTTTATCTTTGGAGTGATTCCAAATGCAACACCATACAGTGTAAGCTTATCTTGGCATTGCATAGGCCCCTGTACATGTATTTTCCCCCTCAGCTAAAGCTTTCTTTCTAATGGTATCCTCAGTATTTGTCAACATAAAAAACATAGTGTTCTGAATCGTTTAAAAATACAATAGGTTTATGTTCTGGCCATTAGTTTTAACAATCTCAACTTTATTTCTAAGAAATATAGTTTTTTTCCCCACATCAGTTTGCAATGACGGGTGGCTCTAAATACAACAATACCCATGAGCTTCAGCCACTGTTGCTATTACAACCGATTTTGGAAGATTTGAGGCACAAATAAATAGTTTTGAGTTTGAGTTGAAAAAATGTGATAATGATACATAGGCTAGGATATTCATTTTCTAAATAAAAACATAACACACAATAATTTGTTATGAGGCTCCCTCAAAGGACCAGTGTGGAAGATTTAGTGGCGAAATTGCAGATTGCAACTAACTAAACACCTCTCCCTAGATTAGGGACACGGATCCTAGTTTTAAAAAATCACTTATTTGCTTCTTAGATAAATTTAGCAAAGAAAAGGTGATGGTTCAGGTTTTACCACTACAATCATTCATTAACCACACCTTCCAATTGACACCTCCCATTCTTTGCATCTCCCTATTCTGTGAAATATAACAAGGCAAGATTGCCAAACTCTGTTAATATGTAAAAATTGCACATAAGCTTTATGTGTGATCAACTCACTCCCATACGTGCATGATAACTCAAAGCAAACAGGGGCACATTACTTTAGTTGAAGATAACGTGGGGAATGCCTCAGTCATGCATTTTTGGAAACAGAACTGTAAATTAACTTCTAAGTGATGAGGTTTGCCATCACTGTGCCCTCCACAGTTAATGCTGTTAACTGATAACTCCTCCAAGAGCCCCAACGTGACTCTGGGAAAACTTTGGCCAGCGGGAAACAAGATGTCTGCTATTAGATGGAAACCTCTGCACATTTTCTCTCCTTGCACCAGTGGAGTGTGTCATTAATTGACATCCTAGCCATGGAGCTACCTGCTAGGATAAATAAGGCTGGCCAGGATGCGCTTGAGGCCTGGAAGCAGCACTTGAAGCGGCAAAAAGTCCACTTACATGAAAATTAACTTCATGCGCTATCTTCAGAGTCAGAGAGAAAAGGGCGGGGTGGGAAATGGTTCCTAGGGCTGAGGGTGGGTGGGGGTGGATCTAAGGAGAGACGTATGGGAAGCAAAAGTGGAGGACGGTGGTTGAAAATAAATGAAGAAAAGGAAACTGGGCAGTGGAGCAAAGGAAAGAAAGAGGAAAAGGTGTTTTTTACCTTTAAAGAGGACAAGGGGTTGCGTGTGTATATTGGGTTAGGATTTGGTGTTTTAATGGTAAACTTTAATTGGACTTAATTGGATATTATCTTTTTGTAAACCATTCAGATCCCCCATCCATTCCAATGGACATAACTTTTCTAGGATGTCTAGATCTATGATTACTCTCACCTGACTTCACCCCATCTTCTAAAGTGGACTGCAGTATTTTTCAGCAAGAATGGCCGACCGTGTTTGTGTTTTTAAAGATGTTATATTACGTATACACATTTAAAACTTTTGAGGTTTTTTTTAAACTGAAAGTAAAGATTTCTGCACACTTCGATCATTACAACATATCACTTCACAAAATGTAGGTGTAGCTGTCGTCATCCTGCATACTCAGCATTTTTTTCAAAAACATCTTCTCGTTGGTTTGTAGAGTACCATTTTTGTAATTGAGCAATGTCTAATAAATATAGCAACTCCTGATCAACTCATATCAATGTTAAGCTTAAACACAGAACTTTGGTTTAAGCTCTGCCCATACAGAGTACAGCTATAAATACTTAATACTATGAATATTTAGTTGGTTGAACAGATAAATACAAATAGTATAGTCTCACTAGTTTTAACTCATCATCTTACTGATTGAGTTAACCACACTAAAACCTGACGACACATCTTAATGAAAACACCCATTCCCATGAATTAAACCCAACTCAATAATGAATAGTTGAAGCAGCTCAGTTGTTTTGAGTGCACTTAAATGTGTGTAGTATTTTAAGTATTGGTGATATAATTTCAGTTTGTTCAATTGACTGACAAAAATGTAATGCTGTTTAGCTTAGGATTGTTTTTTCTTCAGTTTATTAATCATGATACACCCAAGTATGCATTCAAATGATTCTAAATGATCCCCCAAAGTGTAAAGATTTGATGTTAGTCACACAAAAACACAGAAAATTAATTGGCTACCATTTTGATGAGTAATTGTTTTTATCGTACGTCAGCTGTGACAATTTGCTTTAGTGGAAGAAAACAGTAAATTTAACTTCAGTGGCAACATTTGTATAAGGAAGATGCATTTAAGTTACTTTATTGCTGTACAATTGTCTTAATTTACATAAAGTACCTTAATACTTTTTACTTCTATGCTCAAATTAAATAACTTTCATACTTAAACGGTTTACGGCAATCTGTTTTTTCAGTTTGAGTTGAACTAACTCATTTATACATTGATTAAACTTCTGTTTTCTGTTGATAAAAGGTCTCTTAAGACTGTTTATTGTCATTTTTATAATTTCTCATATTGATATTCTCCATTCAGTGGAATCGACAGAAAAAATAACAAGTAGTAGTACTGTATGACAGAAAATCACTGGCTGTGTTTTTACTATTTCTGATCATGATACATACTATGATATTTAGTGGGTCTTTTGGTTCATGAAGATTTATGTTTGTCTTGAATGTGGTGAACTGTAGACTTATTAATCAGTTCACTAGTATACCCCAGCTAACCAGTATACTACACTTACACTGCTCCACTCACAACACAATCTCTCTCTCTCACACACACACACTCCTGCTTGTCACACACACTTGCACAATTGTTTCTCAAGTCTTCCCTCTCACACACACAGTTCCTACTATTCCATACTTTAGACTTATTCTGTCTCATCTCCACACACGCACACACCTGTACATACTCCCACTCATTACTCGCTTTTTCTCACACAGACAAATGTGCACAAACATAGGACAGAAAGAGCTCTAGCCTCTGCCTTCTGATTTCTCTCTCTCTTTCTCCCAGGTCACACATATTGAAGTCCAGGCTCTGCTTACTGTTCTGCATAATTTAAGACTTTATTATAACAAGCCAACCTCTCTCTCTCTCTCTCTCTCTCTCTCTCTCTCTCTGTTGCTACTATGCTGCTAAAAGTGTTCCTTGATGATGCTACACTGGAGGCCATCCTGGCACATACAAACACACACATGCACGCAGAGTCTAAACTCACTCACCCTTAACCAAAGATTGACCTTGATTTAAAGAGAAATTCAGCCTGGCCCCTCCCCTCACCCCTTTATAGAAATCTCAGGAAGCACATACTCTGGCAATGTGACAACCACACGATTTCCCCCATTTCCACTTTAACACATTTCTCTATAAGACTACGTGGTATCTGTTTTGTATTGCAGCCAATGGAGCTGCCCCGTGCTGGCCATTACATGGAATTCAGAACCAGAAGCTCTGTCCATTATATATCTTTAGTTTATTTGATCTCATTTACACGTTTTTCTGTTTTTGCAAGTAAAAAATAGAAACAGGTTTGGTCATGGCTCGTAAATACCAGCTGTTAACCCAAAGTCATTGAAGCATCAATTTCATATTTCAAGATATCTTCTGACAAACTCAAGGCAAATACAGGTAAAATACTGTGAGATATGTCCAAATTTAAAATTAGGTATTACAGAGAAGTAGTCTTTTTTACTATCCATTATGCTTAATATGTCGGTGACTTGTGGCACTGCATTAACTATATTTAATTAATTAATCAATTAATTAATTAATTAAGTAATACTCTGCATCCGTTTCCATGGTATTCAACAGGAAAACTAAACCTGAATTAATATGTGTAGGCACAATAAACCCAGAACGAATGTCATCATGCATCATCTTTTTCCTTTGACTCTTTTGTAGCTTGTTAAGGAATTATTGACAAGCAAACAAACACAAGAATTGAGTCTAGAATTAGTAAAACTTCGGTTTATCACCGTAACAGTTGCAGTTAACATACTATTTCACACTGGATCTCATAAGGATACACATACACAGAACACACACACGCATGCTCACAGGCAACCACATAACCATTTCAGTTATTGCCCACCTACCCACAGACTGTACAGCTGCTTACCAGTGTGTTTTCCTGCTGCATGCTGATCTGAGGCAGGTAGGGAGCGGTGGCGAGCTGAGCCTGGCTGCGGTGCAGTATGATGTTGTGCTCTCTGTGGTGGCCCAATTTAACCAGCAGGCTGCCATATTGAAGCCCCTCAATCAGACCTGAGCCCACATACACACCTGACTGTGGGAGAAACACAATGTACAGCACATATATGGGTCAGAATGCAAAAGTGTTCATGGTTGTTCCAAAAGGCCACACTAAAAGGGAAAGGGAAAAGCTGGCTGTCGGAGAGGCGGGAGACATGACAATGGTTTAAATATTGGGATAGTGACAGCCTCTGTTGTAATGCATTCATAGTGTTGCAATTGATTTTACTAATGAAAATGACTTTAGTAAAGAAAGAAAAAAGACAGCTTGAGCTCCTTTCCCACCTCCACACAGCTGGCCAATCATGGTGTAAAGAGGGTGTGAATGTTGGATTGTAGGTTCCAGAATGTTGCAGATATGATCAGATGCAACCACCACACAATTCCAACACTGAGAAGGCGTTCCACCGTCTGACCACCGCATCAGTGTTTATGATCTTGGCACTGGTTGACCTTCAACAAGGGAGGGCATTCAGAGAACGTCGAGGACAGGGGGGCGTTGAGGTGCTCTTGAGGTACGGTTTGTTTAGGGTGAGTTTACACCAAAGACTAATAATACAAGCTGAAACTTTAAACTTCCTGCAAATGAAGCTGATCTGAACATCAACATCTTTTAAAGTGTATACCACTGGGACTACACAAGACGTTGTATCGTTTCCACAGCAGCAACTCTCTTTGCTTCAGGGTAACTGGACATCAGAGTATCACTAATACAGTTTCACCTACATGATTGTTACTTCTTGAAGCATTAATGTCTCTCAAGAATACACTGAACGCCATGTTATCGTCGTGGTCACATGTTTAGAATAGGGATATTCGGCTGTCGGCTTTACCTGTGAAAGCAACTCAGCATCTAACATCCAGACACACATTGTGCTGCCTTTAAAGTTAATCACTATGTGTGAATAATTTGAAAACACCTTTGAATAAGGAATGTCATGTTAGAAAAATTTCTTTGTCACCTAGCTGTTGTGGTGAGCTGTATTTTTTACACCGTACAGTGCTGCTTACACTTTAGTAGTCATTTGAATTGATATCATTATGTATGATTTTGTCATTTTTCAGTTTTCAGTTTTTTGCAAAATTAAAGAGTGGAAACAAGACTTCAGTAAAATACAAGAATTCAGTCAGGACCACTTTTGTCAAAATATCTTATATTCCAAGCAGAATGTTACATTTGGCGGTATGGCTCTGTTCTGGGACCTCCTTGTCCTTCCGCGTGCCTACGTGGAAAACCTTAAGGCAGGGAGAGCACACCTCCCTGCCCTTCCATGTGCATACATGGAAAAGTTTAAGACAAGGAGAGCAGCAGCAGAGACCCCCCAGGGTACAGAACAGAGTAGCATCAATGGCAATCAGAAAATGACATTGATTAATTAGAAACAACATAAAAAGGAGGAGCTGGGGTGGAGGTGGGTGCAAAGGCTTGTAGAGGAGCAGCAGAGATAGGCAGGCAGGCTAAAGCAGCTTAAATAAGGCGCCATGTAGATGTTTGCCAATTGGATGCTTGAGGAAATCAGGTGAGCTGTCAGCTGACTGTGTATGGTATCCAATGGGAAGCTTAGAGGAATCAGCTGATGTATGTTTATGACTAGCTGTGATCGTATGATATAGCTGTAACTGAAAGCTAAGCGTGACTTTGTGCCCTGCCTGAACTAACGCTATGCTCAATTAGTCAAGCCTTGTGTGTTTATTGGAGGACTTCTGAGTGTTAACTGGCTGTCTAGCTTTGCACAAGAGTACGTGCTGCAGGGACAGTACAACTATTATAATACTATTTCATTTAAGTTTTAGCATGCCTGCACACAACACATCATTGCCAACGTGTATTAACACAATACAAACAATAAACAATCTAAATCTAAATCTAAAACAGACACCTGTCACTTGATCTGAGTAACCTGAGCAACCCCCTCAACCAGCGTGGTTGCAGCTTAGACAGCGCTGTGACTGTTCTGCAGTGTTATAAAACAGTTTTTTTTCTCATCACAAACTTTAAAGACCTAATTAAACATCTTTCATAAGTCTATGAATGAAAGGAAATCCCCAAACATGGGACATTTGCCAGGTTAAGTGTGTGTAAAAATCAAAAAATCTGCTAAATTAATACTGCCATATTTAACGCCAAAGGGTTACATGCTGCATAATATGTGACATATGTCTCCTTATTTACATTCACCGCCTAATGATGATGATAAGGGCCGACATGAAAATTGGACCTTTATGGACCTCCTGAACCTCAACGTTCCCATCTGGCTGGTGCAGCCCTTTCAGGCGGATATTGCCAAATGTGAGCCCGTTATCCAGGCGCATCTTGTTGGCATCCAAAGTGACGACAAGGCCCAGGTTACTGTCATCACCTCAGCTGGGGCAGCATGTGGCTCAAATATGTGCTGCGTTACCCGCTCTGAGGGAAAAGATTAGACTGACTCTTTCTTTCCCAACAATATCTACAGTAGTTGAGCAGTGGTTCAGCGAGGTCCTCCACATGCAGCTCTTGTTGGAACAATTAATAATATTGCTTATCTTATTGTTTGGCATTTCTCATTGGCTGCTGTTTGTGATACTTAATTAAGTTTGAATATCAAATATCTAACCTATTTTTTAAACACTCAAATATAACTTCTATTCATGCTTTTTTTTTTCTCCCTGGGAAATTAATGAAATTCCAGCTGTCCAGACTGTTTTTGGTATTCAGTGACATGCTTTTGAATGATTTTTAATTATTTTAAATGAACACATAGTTATATCCTGGATATTACTGTTGACTATTGTTTTTTATTATGAAGATTATGATAATAATAAACAGAATATCAATCAACATAATATTCAATACATTTATATTAAGCAAAGACAATTAGCCTCCTTTTTATGATGGGGAGTGGTGGGCGCTGGCCCTAAAAAGGTTGAGAATCATCGCTTTAACGTATGCATGAGACGCACCAGGCTTCACTGTAAACTCATCTACGTCAGTGATGTAGTACAGATACCGCACCTGGAGGTGGTGGGTGGATGGTCTAAACAAACATTGGACTTAAACATAGGAGACTGGGGTATGTGTCCCATGTGAAAATTACATCATCGTCCATGATGCAACATTACTGTTTGGGTTCAGTCTCACCCCAGTTGTTTTTAGTTATTTTTGTGGAAAAGCTCTGCACCAGAACCAGAACTAATTTGGTGGAAAAGGGGCCATTGCGAAATGTGCCAATAGCTGAGTGAGCATTCCACTGTAAGCCCAGAATATTCATGTAATTATCACCAGGCACTGCAGTGGGTATCAGGCTTAGTCCTTGAACAAGTGACACCATCTCTAACCCTGACTTAACTTACCTTAAGCTGCCTTTAAATCTTACCCTCACCCAATCAAAGAGCAGACACTCAGTGGCTTTACCCAGCCTTATATCTACATTGTATCTGTGTAGGTTAAACAACAAAGGCTGGCCCAACTGGCTCGTCAAGCAGTTACAACTTAATGTCATGGCCTGTTCAGTTGTCCAGCCACCATACCTGTTTATTTAGTTCCACAGGTCTTATTAGTGGTCACTAATTAGCAAAACCTCTTGTAGGGCTGTACCGAATAGTTCAAAGCTTCAAAGCTTCCGATCGAATTCTAAACTTGAATGCCTCACAGACATTTAAAGCTTTGTTCAAAAACCTCAATAGAAGCTTCAAATGTAACAACAAATGATGGAACTATCGCTGGAATAATGTCCTTTGACCTGTCTTACCAAAGACAAAAACATGGTCACAATATGAAGTTGTGTGTGACTGTAACAGTGCACACTGTCAATGTTTAAAGTGTACAGAAATGACAGTCACCACCATTTATATTATACAATGTGAATTCTTTAAATGGCTATATTTACTATTTTATTTGCCGTTAAAAACAGACCTCAACTTTTATCCATTTTACAACTTTTGCAAAGAGTATTACAGCCTCAAAGAGCCGCTGGCTGTAGACTGTAGTCTTGCTTTCAGACCAGTTAGAGTCACAAACTGCTGCTGCCAACTTGATGACTGTGTTGCCACATTTAGCATATTTCAGAAAAGTAAGTTTTGATAAACAACCACGGGGAGCATTTTTAATGTGTTGACTCCTTGAGCATTTGGTGACAAATTGGCACAGCTGATACTGATGCAAGTAAATGTGCACCGCTCGCTTGACAAATCCATCGAGGTCTCATTGCAGCGCTTCCTATACACAGTAAATCTCTCTCCGCTTACAATCTATTCTTAGCAGGAAGGCAGAGATAGTATTATATGCAAATTAGCATATAATGTCATCTGGCACCCTCTCACAAGTTCTCGAGCAGCCAAACGCTGGTCTCATTGGAGGAGAATTGGCAGTACCTGGTCAGGGAGTTGTGCGGAGCAGACGTGGCACCGGGAGTTTCAGATTACAAAGCCAAAAGAAAAAAGCTGTTTCTTTGTTCATGACAGCAACAGTTTCCTTGGGTGGGAAGTGATGAATCCATTCCATACCATTTGATGGCAATTTCTGTGGAAGGCCAACGAAACTGGCTCGCTTTTAAAGGCCCTGAAAATTACTGCAAACACACACACAGATGATGCCTATGATGGAGCGCCAGCAGCACAGATCCAGTATGTCGACGAGGCGGCTGGATGACACCACCTCATAATGTCTGATAAATGTACTGGCAAGATGGATGAATAGACTTACCTGGCTCATCAGTTTCTGCTCTTTTTTTCACATTGAATTTGGTTAATTGAACAGAAAAGCTTCTATCTCTCAGTTTTGTGAGTTGTGACTTATGAGGCTCATTTACAAATTCCATTAGTGCAACATGGTGCAGTTTATACTTTGGATTCAGGAATGACAGTTTTCCAACAGTTTACCGCTCAGCTCCTTCTGTGTAAGTTTTCCGATCATGTCTTTTATGGCTTTACGCACCATTAATATGGATAAGTGAATGACTGCTGATGCATATGGATACAGTTACTGGATACTGGTTCAATAATGAGGAATTGTATTGACAAAAAGGGCAGTTTGAATTTAGGCACAGTATTTTT